GCACATGTGCCATTGCCCCAGCCCTGCCTCCCCTCGCAACCTCCTCCTCTCCAGCAGCCCCCCTGAAGAAGAGTCGCCCTCGAGCGTGGTCCACACAGAGCAGCACAGTCAAGGACATGGCAGCCAGGCAGTGTAGACAAGACTCTGCCCTCAAACCCCATCATGCAGTTGATGCTGCAGGGCGTGGGCAGAGGGTGTGGCCGCCATAGCACTGCTGGGCTGCCTGGGCGATCTGCGGCAGGCCCTGGAGGAGGTGAGAGATGCTTTGGGCAGGTGGGGCGGGGGATAGGGGCAGAGCGGGGGTGAAAAGGGGGGGGGAACAGGGGCGGAGCCAGTTCTTGGGCACTCAATCTCTAAAAGGTTTGCCATCACTGCCCTAGAAAATCTGCATGAGCAACGCCAGAAGTGATCACATGGATAGCTGATAGCTGAATTGGACATCCAGTTATGAGGCTACTGCCGTACCCCTGTAGTTTTGTATAACTTGGGTTGTGTGTATATGTTTACTTCTCTTCTGTCATGTTCTCATCATATGCTAAATAATAAGGACTGCCTTTGCTATGCAGCACAGTCATGTGATGTTTCTCTTGACAATTGCTTTGCCTAGTGGCAGATGTTCCAGCCCCACTTAGAGTTATAATCTCAGGACTCCATGTAACCCTATTCAGCCTGAAGATTTCATATGGCATGTTGATTAGTTAGTATGTTCTTACATTTGTGTTAAATTGGACATTCTCATAGATTAAAGGGGACACATAAGATAAACTACATGCAAGAAGATTATCAGCGATATAAAACAAGAAATCTTGCAGATGAATAAGGCAAACAATGTTTCTGTGATATACAGAACTTTCCCATTAGATGGGGAAAAAAACAAGCACTTTTCTACAGTGACAGATAGATTAACTCAATGTGCAAAAGAATGTAGCTTATTATTTTCCCAATCCCATAAATCCTTGCCTTAGCAATGCATATACTGTATTTCTATGCTTGATTGGTGTTTGTCATTTGTGAGCTCATTCCATTTAGTTCTGAACTTGGATGGCTGAATGCCAAACAATTTGAAAGTGAAACTGGTCAACCCCAAAAGAAAACAAAATTAAAAATCCTAAACAGGTCTGACAAAGACATGTGAGTTTTCAGGACATACTGAAGTTGATGGCAGTTGAGCTTATAGACCTGATGGGCATGACCTAAAGATGAATCATGAAAGATGGACAGCAGGCATAGAAGCATAGAAGAAATAGGGGAGATATGATAGTAGTGTTCCAGTATCTGAAGGGCTGCCACAAAGAAGAGGGGGTCAGATTATTCTCCAAACACCAGAGGGCAGGATGAAAAACAATGGTTGGAAGATGATCAAAGAGAGAAGCAACCTGGAATTAAGGAGAAACTTCCTGACAGTGAGGACAATTAACCAGTGGAACAGCTTATCCCCAGAAATTGTGGGTGCTCCATAGCTGGAAGGTTTTAAAAATAGACTGGACAATCACCTGTCTGAGATGGTATAGGTCCTCCTGCTTGAGCAGGAGGTTGGACTAGAAGACCTCCAAGGTCCCTTCCAGCTCTATTCTATGTTAAGCAAAGGCACATTTCTAGATCAATGACTTAGTGAAAAGCTTTGGAGCTGCAGAGAGTCTCCCCTGAAAGCCAGGCCAACTTTGGGGAATCCATATTGTGGATCTGAAATTTTGCAACCTCTTGGAGTGGGGAGGGTAAGTCAGATGATGGGCTGTAGTCAATTGGGACAGTGGTCTTTATACCAATACAGGCTTCCTGGCACCTTTCCAAGTGTGTGGATATTTTGCTATAGGTTTTTGACTTATTTTTGAATTCTTGCTATTAAAGGTTCCTATTACTTGTTTGGTAAGCACTCTCAGTAATAACTGAGAATAAGTGAGAAATATCAGAGGGGTCAATAGAATCTAGGATTTTTTTCTAATGAAAAGGGTGTTTTGAATACATGGTAGGCATCAGCTTATCTTACTGGCAATAAGAAGTTAGTTTAGCCAACTATTTTCTTTTCTTTTATTGGTTGACAACAAGGGGAGCCATAGTTATTTTTTCTTTGCAGCCATTTGCTACTCAAACATAAAATGATTGACTGGAACTGTACATGGGAACTTAGCCGTATGGTTAACCATATGGTTAACCTCCCAGAGCCGTGTTTGTGTAGGAATTGTACCCATTCTTTTGTGAATTTTATGTTTTGCTTCTCTTGTTCACTTTGGCTGATGATGAATTTTATATCTATGTAATGCGAGCTTTCCACTTTGCTCAGAGTTCACTATATTTGTAAGAGGATTAATGCTTGGTTGGGCTTTAAAAATATACTTTGTAGTTTTGTTTTTGGGCAGTGAGTTGCAATGAGTGGCTGACAACAATAAAAAATAGTAGCAATAACAAGAAGTTTAAATTAGTAATACATGTTACTGGATATAATTTGTTTTTGTTCTACCCGTCTTACCACATTTCTGCATCTGATCAGAAATCTGGGCAGGCACCAAAGGCGGAATAAATTTCTCCTTACCACTTGGCAGAGCATGCAATCAGTTTAAAATGGAATTGCACAAACACTGTGCTACACCTTGATAAACAGTGGTTTAGGTTCACTCTCAGCCTTTGCAGTCATTCCCCCATATGCTTCTTTTCCCACTGCTGAGTTAAGATGCTCTCTAGTTAAAATACTCTCCAGTCCTTCTTCAGTCAGTAGAAAACTTCCCGGTACATAATCCGCAGCAGCCATTGCTGATCCCTGCCCATCACTCCTGCAGTTGTTTTGACTCACTGCCAAATGGTACTGTTCAGCGTTTGCGCACACAGAGCATGATAAGCAAAGGGATTGGTTATTCCTCTGGCTTTGCTGTCTTCTTTTTTCTATATGTCACCAGCTGGAGAGGGGAAAAATCCACCAATCACAATCTACAGCAGAAGTAGGGTGGATCTGACAGCAGGACTCTGACTCAATGTCCCTCAGGTGTCCTGTTCTACATTCCATTTTGCCTTAACCATAGTCGACTAGAGTTAAATAAAAGAAAAATACACCACAATCACAAAAACACACCACCCCTCAATCCCTTTCAATTAGGATTTCTGAATTTATCAAATGCATATTCTTTCCCCCCCCCCCCTTCCTTCAAATGAGACTCCATGCTTTCATCACAAGCCAGTGGGAAAGTTGGTCCCCTCATTCCTTTGTTTGGAAAGGACCAAGTTGATAAAATGCCGGATGCAGTGTCATGATGCAAGCCCCACCACTTGCATGTTCAGAAACAGCAGGATGAATTCATCTTCTTGCCAATTTTGAATTCAGCCTTCACATCCATCCCCAAAGCTGGAATTATCTTAAGGGAGAAGCAATTTTAACAGTGGTATAGCTAAAAACAATTTCAGCACATTCCATATCTACAGATATGGCAAAGACATTATCATGGTGACAGAATAAAAATATTTTTTTCCATAGGGCATATTTGTATATCAGGATTCAGGAGGGGTTATACATTTTGCATTGTTATCACCAAATTCCACTATTTGATGGTAAAATGTGTTATGCTATAATTCTCCATGAAGATTCTCAGTCATCATGGTTGTCACAAAAATGCTTTTTCAAAAGGCAACTGGGCTTTGTTTTTCCTTGAAGACATTTCACTTCTCATCCAAGAAACTTCTTCAGTTCTGATGAAGAACTAAAGAAGCTTCTTGGATGAGAAGCAAAAGGTTTTCAAGGAAAAACAAAAAAGTACCTTTGAGTTAAGCTACAATTCCTAGAATTCTCAGCTGCCATTTATTACACCAACACATCTGGAAGATTCCAAGTGGGAAAATTTTGGCTTTTGGTATATGATGTAGCTGGGATTATTTGGTGTCAAATACTTGACAAATATGTTGTTATAGCTCAGACTTTTTCAACTCTGTCTGATTTGTACACTCCGTATAATTACTATTTGCGACCATATTAAAACTGAAAAACAAGTTGGTTAATATTCTATTTCAGACTGGTAAATTATATTCCATTTTTTAATTATTTTTTATACTTCATATTCATGAATGCTCTATTTGCTGTTTTATAAGTACACTACAAACTTTCAAGGTCACTTTAATCTGTATCATACTTAATTGGAATAATGGCATTGGTGACTGCAAGGTCAAATGGAAATGATTTTTTAAACAACAGCTGTGTAAACGCAAGGGAAACTATTGGAAAAACGAAGGTTTCTTGGATTTGTGATAATACATTACTTGTCCTCTCTGCTGTATTTTATTAAAGAAAGGGCGTCCCCTTGTGATGGAACCAAATATACGGACGGCTTCAAACTCTTAAGCAGATGCTGTGAAATTAAAGTCAAGTTAACATAAAAATAAACTGCTTTGGATTCAACAGAATTGCCCAGAAAATATTGAGAATTACACATTGCTTCCAAAATTTGATAATGAAGAAAGTTTCATGGTATACCAGACAATGCTGTGACTTGTTTGTCATCCTTTGAGAGAAAGGTAGTACAATCAGACGTAACCAGAGTGAACTTTATTATTTTTTGTTTAGCCCAATGCTGAACAATCCCATGATCATCTAAGAATTTGTAATGTATCCTAAATAGAAAAATGATTGTAGTGGCAAATGAACTTCAATATAAAGTCATTATTTAGTTTTACACTAAAAGAAATGACCACAGGCAGGCAAAAAAAAAAAAAAGTGGGAGCAGGAGCAACTTCCAACTTCCTCATGGCTTCACCATTAACTTTGCTTGTGAGAAGCTGGCAGAGGACATCAAAAATCACAATCACGTTACCATGATGACATTGCAATGGCCACACGTTTGTGGATGAAAATGGTGGAAATTTCAATTCCACTGGAGTAGGATTCTGGATTTTTTTACAGATTATTTAAGTTAGACAATTTAGGTAACTTTGATTTAAAAATTGTTGCAATATAATGCATAGTTTGGGTTAACTTGAGAGTACAAACAAAAAGTACAGTGAGAATTTTAGTAGTATATAGATACAATCAAAACAAGTTTTTATTTCCTATTTTGGTACAGATACTTCAACAGCATGAATAACACCTGAATTATTATCAGTACTGATTTTTTTTAAGATTTATAGATTTTTAATAGACAAAAGGTATTGTTAAGGAAGAAATTAATTATTTGTATGACGTTTGGAATACAAGTAATACTCAACAACTGGCTGTTCTATGACCAAAGTTACAACAGCCATGGAACAGATGCTTTACAGTCCATAAAGCACCACCAACTATCATAAATGGTCATACTGCCCTCCCATCACATGACTGCATGTCAGGCAGATCAGCTATGTAATACAGCTCTATGTGGCCAAGGTTTCATGGTGCATATAAGTATAAATCTATAGACTTTTTTTTGCCAAATATATGCCTGTGTGTATTCATACAATAGCTGTATAAGCCTGTGAGAATGTTGCATGTTAACAAGGGATGCCAAAAGACCGAAAGGCATTGCCTTCCAGGAAGATCATAACGAGATGAGACCAAATTACTTCCATTTATGATCAGAGAAGGAGCAAATTCTCCTTGCTAGAAACTATATTTGGTTCCAAATATTGATTTCCTCAGTCTAAGAAAACATAAAGGAGCATTTTTTGGCTTCATCCCTTAGTTGAAGGCTAAGAGTTGTCGAGTTTTATTTAAGTTTGAATTTAAGTTTGATCTACAGTACTTATGCCTTCTGTTGTTTAAAAATGATTTCTTTGAAAAATGAGGTTTATATCTAAAAACAAAAACCCATCACAAAATTAAAGAAAAATTCTTTCAACACAACATTTGAAGTAAGCAGATGCAGAAGCTGGATAAAAGCATGGAAGCTTGCATTTATTTTAACAGCTTTAAAGGCACATTTAAAGTATGGTTTCAACTTTTCAGCGGATTATGGGTTTTGTTTTTCTGTTCCTTGAATCTCCTCTCATGAACAGGCACTCTTATAGGCAATTTGTATGTCGTTGTCCTTTTCTCTGTAAGGGAAAAAAAATCAAGCACATTATTAGGTTAGGCTAGCATGTATTATAGTAGGTACTGCAAAGAAGTACTACTATAGTTATCTCTTTTCTTTCATCGCTAGAAGGAGAATTTTAATAGACTTTTCATAGGAGATAAAACTAACTTTGCAATCAAATCTTGCTATATTCTATATGTTCCTCCAGCAAGCAAAAAATAGGCAATTATTTTTCTCCCCTAACAAATTTGTATTTGTTTTTAGAAGTGCTTTATGTTAGCTGCTTTCATAATTGTTTCTGTGATTACATTTCTCAATCAGTTTAAAAATTATGCAGCAGAAAGACTGTGAGAGTTTCTAAGGAGAAAACTGAGAACATATTCAGCTGGATAATTTTTACACAGGCCCGAAGGGAACATGGAGACAGAATAAATTTGACAAGTGGGATCAACAATCTATGGAAGCATATTTCCTGGTGTTAGAATTGCAAATTGGACTGGAAATTGATATAAATTACCCAATAACTGCATGATCCTACTTTCAATGATCTGTTTGATCTACACTGTAAAAACACAAATCTTCATTTGTGAAGATTGCATCATTTGTGTATTCTCCCCCCAAAGTCAAACATTATTAAAATAATATTTTTAATACAAGGTCATATAAAGACTCCATAAGAAATAAATAAAACAAAAGTGTGGCTATTTCCAGCTAAATATGTAACTCTTGGAAATAGCCAATACTGTATATTATACGAGCAATAACTATTTTTTTTTTCAGTTTTGTGGCTCTCTCCTGTCTATAAATGTTGGTCAGTTGTTACATTTTTTCAAAATGGAGGAATCATCCAGTTCCCAATAGGTTTTCAGAGACTCAGGAGCTGAGAGACAGAAAGTTGAAATGAAGTGAGTGCTTAAGCACAGATACCCCAACTGAATTTTATAAAGCTCACACCACTTCACATAGAGAATTATCTTCTACTTTCAAATTACCTGTTTGTCATACAAAGCATACATTCATTTGCATATGTTTCTCCATCAGTTCCGCAAACTGGATTAAAATTCCTTGGGCATCCAGGTAGATTATACAAGTTACATTGGGGCTGGAAATAGATATACCAATATATCACTCAAATTCATATGTTAAAATGCTTCAACATTGTAGTTTAGGTATGTTTCTGTGAATATATATATTAAAAATATTGGTTTCAATTTCCTCTGTAGCATAAACATTATCCATTTTCATAAAGAAGAAATATCAATCCATGTAACTTAAATTGATAGGCCAATGGCCAAATGATTCCATGTAAAATAAGGCCCGAAACACAGCAGTACTGTGAAAATTTCACATTATTATCAACATATTATATCTGATCCAGAACTGGACCAATATTCAACATGCGAAGACTTGTTAAAAAAGATTTAAAAGAAATGTTATATCACAAAGAATTTCACCTATTTTATCCAGTTCAGATTGTAAATCCTCTTTCTCTACTTTTAAACCTCTTTAAAAGTTCAAAGAAGCTTATCACCTTTAGTTCAACATATTTAATACTGAAAAGATTCATGTTATTTAAATGAAGTGGATATATGCTATTCTTTAAATACAGCTATTGGCTTTTAATTCATACAATCTAACAATTTTACAATAGATTGAAATCTGTGGGTATTTGTTGCAGTAAAATATTTTAGACTCTCTCATTGGGAAAAAAGTGTTAACTAAAATATACAAATATTTTCATCTCCTTGTGTTATTTATAAAAATAATAGAAATGGGATAAATATAAACAACACTTTTAGCTATAGTGACATTTTTATAAAACAAACCTGATTAAGCAAAAACAAATGAGATTTTAACATATTAAAATGCTCTTGAGAGCCATTCGATGTATAGTTTCACGTAAAATTATTAACAAAATACTATATTAGAAGGTTATTAACAGGAGTGATAAAATTCCTTTAAGATCTTAAACTGGGCAGAACGTCCTCTCCATTATATGATTCCCTATGATTTGGATACTGAGATCAGCTTGCCTTTATCACTGGAGGTTTTTAAGAAAAGCCTGGACAGCTACCTGTCTGAAGGGGTATGGGATCTCCTGCTTGAGCAGGGGGTTGGACTAGAAGACCTCCAAGGTCCCTTCCAGTTCTATTCTGATTGAATTGAAATAAAATTCTTTGTTTCTTATATTTCAGTGACTTCCAAATGGTCACCTTAGATTTCTAATTAACATTTCAACATCAAATTGTTTTCATTTGATGTTGAAGAAAATAGAGAGGAAAAAAGGAGGAAATAGAAAGTCTAGACTTACAACCCTGTCTGTTGTCTGGATGAGATTCTAAAGAAAAACCAAGCCTAAATCTAATATTTATATAGAATGCTATATCTACAGCTAAGCATAGTGAAAACATACTATATATCTGCCCTTCATGAGAAACCAGATTTTTTTTAACCCAGTAATCTTTGTGGCAAAATGCACAACTCCATATGACAATTAAAACTCAAGATGAGGGGGGGGCTAGCATTCATTTTCAAAGGACAAAAGACATTGCCTAGAATGCTTTTTACTTTGGCTAGGATTTAGTCCCCAAATAGTTTTTTTTTCCTGTGCAGCTAACATATCCCAGAAACATTTTGGTTCACGTTTACTCTCCCAGGACTATAGCTTGAAGCCCACAAATGCCAACATCACCTCTTGGACATACAGCAAGCAAGATTATTTCCTTTCTCTGCTGAAGAGCTTTCCAGCAGTTCCCATGAACCTCCTAATTATGGGACACAACTTTCTGGTCCCCAAAGAGGGAAGCTTCTCATCTGAGCTCTGATTTCCATTTTGAGTCCCTGATCGCTCCGAGAACAAAAAGCCTCCTCTCCGTTGCCCCAAGCAGGTGGCTCAAACGGCACCCCCAGGCTTGCTGCAGGAGGAAAAAGAGCCAGCAACCCTGCTTCGAAATTAACTTTTCAATTAACTTTGCAAATTACAAACTAACGCCGAGACGAGAGAAGAGTGTGCTTATTATACCTCTTGGATTCTCAACACTCACCTCAGTGCTGCTTGTCACAAGGGAAAGCATCAACAGGAGTCCTCGGGTGCGGATGGAGAGGAAAAAAAGGGATGGAGAGGTTAGCAGCGAAGACCAAAGTCCCATACAATAATTGCCTGGATTCCCACCACCATCACCACCACCTCGTCCCAGCCAGTACTCTCTGGGGGGTTGCCAATGGACCCCCACTATCGAGGGCACCTCCAAGGAAAGCATCGCGGGAGGGGCAAAGGGATTAAGACAGCGGCTCGGTTGCTGGAAGCAAGAGCGGCTGGAAAAACCGCCCATTCGCTCGCCGCGTCCGAGCGGGGAGGGAGAGACTGGCGGCGGTACCTGCCAGCGCCCACAGCAGCCGCACCATCACTCTCTTCATGGTGTAAAAGGGAGAAGAAGAAAAAAAAGTAAACGCCTGGCGAGATGCGCTCGCCGCTCTAGTTATAGCGTGCGCTGGGAGAGGCTACGCCCCCTACCGTCGCCACAACAACGACGGTTCCGCCCACCTGCTCGCCCAGGCTGTGCACGTACGCAGTGAGTTGGCTAAGGGCCTCTCTCTCTCTCTCTCTCGCTCTCTCTCTCTCATTTTCAAAGGACAGAAATGGCTATACAAATTCAAAACAGGGTGATCGAATGTCAAAATAGTTTTTTTTAAAATCAAAATAGCAGCTACCAAACCCTCCTGTGCCAGTGTTGCAAATGGTGGGGGGGGGGGGGGAATTCCAGCTCTACGTCCTGCGAAATATAAAATCGGCTCGTGAGGTTTTCACTATGGTTTTTAAGGGACGCGGAAGACGTACAAAAAAAGATGTTGAGACTTTGGAAAAAGTTCAGAGAAGAGCAACTAAAATGATCCAAGGCCTGGAGAATAAAACATAGGAAGAACGGCTGCAGGACTTGGGTTTGGCTAGTCTAAAGAAAAGAAGAAATAGGGGAGACATGACAGCAGTATCCCAATATTTGAGAGGCTGGCACAAAGAAGAGGAAGTCAAAATATTCTCCAAAGCACCAGAGGGCAGGTCAAGAAACAATGGCTGGAAACTGACTAAAGAGAGAAGCAACCTGGAATTAAGGAGAAACTTCCTGACAGTGAGGACAACTAACCAGTGGAACAGCTTGCCTCCAGAAATCATGGGCTCTCCATCACTGGAGGTTTTTAAGAAGAGACTAGACAGTCTCTTGTCTGAGATGACATAGGGGGCTGGACTAGAAGACCTCCAAGGTCTCTTCCAGCTCTATTCTATCTCAAAATCTAAGTGTCTTCTATCTCAGATTATAAGCTGTGTTTGCAGTTGCCCAAACAGAATGGTAACATCACTAACCTCAGGTTCATAGTAGGCCAAAATGGGTTGATTAGTTGGATCGGAGATGTAGACTTGGAAGGATAGTATGGACTAACATCTTAGGAATGCAGTTACTACGGTCTTTATAGTCTGAAAATGATGTATCCAATCTGCTTCTTAGGCTGTTTCTGGATCCCATATGGTATTTCTTTAAAAGGTATAGAAAAGTTGGTTAATAAATTTCAGTTTACATTTCACTGGCATGTGACATTAACTGCCAGTAGGAAAAATCACAGGAGACCTAAGAAACTTTAGTAAACAGTCAGCGGCTGTGCAAGTTTCATTATTTTGGTACATTTTCAGAGGGGGGGAGGCTGGGTGGGAAGTTAGAAATGTCATTCCCGATCAATATGAAATATATTGTTTACACTTGTCTAAAGGTTAGCTTGGATTGAGTTCTAAGTCTGGCACTTATCTAGGTGATAAAATGATCAAGGTTAATTTCCCTTATGTGTTTACCTATTCATTCCCAAGCCCAGCCACTTAGTTGCAGAAGCCATCAGAAGATCTCTTGCAGACAGTTTGTTTCTTTGGGTCATTAATCCCACCAAACCTCAGAGAATCAAAATTGGGGGGAGATGTCTTGGAGGTTTCTAGTTCAACCTCTTGCCCTAGGGCAGGGGTAGGCAACCTTGGCTCTTTTATGATTCGTGGACTTCAACTCCCAGAATTCCTGAGCCAGCCTAGCTCAGCTTGGAAACCTCTCCCTTTCCCCTCAGCATGGCTGGCTCAGGAATTCTGGGAGTCATAAAAGAGTCAAGGTTGCCTACCCCTGGCCTAGGGGGCTTGTCATCCTGCATATGGTTCATAATAAATACTTAAGTGCATTCTCACCTTTGTTTAATTTGGCTAATTTAAAAGTTACAATCTAGTAAAAAAAAAAAAGTCCCAGTGATTTCAAAAAGTGTCCCATCAAATTCACAAGCGAAGTGATGGTGAATTAGTGACTCATTAGTGGTTGCTGACTGAATGACAGTTCCCAAATGGCGGCCAAGCTTGATCAGACTGCTGGGAATTATAATTTTCCAACTTATAAATGTCACAGATTCCCTGTCTTGCTTCAAATATATGCCAAAATAATGGGCAGCTATTGTCATCCACTGGTACGTAAACTAAAAAAACACAATAACACAGAAAGCAATACTACTAACATGATGAGAATGAACCACAGAGAAACAAAGAAACAATTCACGAGAGCAGTAATTTACAGCAACAGTATGCAATTAAACATTGCTAAGGTAATAAGCAGGTAATAAGTACCTGCTGTTGGACAGGAAACAATGCAAGTCTAAATAAATTGAATTGGACTTCCTTGTAAATTCCTGTTTAATTTTATGCTACAATCTCCTTTTGTAATTCCTTTGTTAAAGGATTGCAGCTTTCAAAACAGAAGAATATCCTGGGAGTTTGAAATGTTCTTGCCCTAGTTATTGAATATTGATATCCCTTAACTCAGGGCTTTTCAATCTTTTCATCCATTGTACCACTTTTAGGATATGGCAACATCCGAGTACCACCAGTCGCCTAGCGAGGTGTCAAAAACTTGATGACCCCCCCCCAAAAAAAAGGAAAAAAGTGGTAAAGTACAGGTAGTCCTCGACTTACAACAATTCGCTTAGTAACTGTTTGAAGTTACAATGGCACTGAAAAAAGTGTCCCCCAAGCCACAGCTGAGCAAGACACCTGCCTGCCCACCCAGCCACGCTCTTCCTCTTGTCTGAGGTTTTCATTGTTGTGAGCATTTCTGTTGAGGATTGGCAGCGGGGGTGGGGTGAGGGGGTGTTTGGTTTTTATCCCCCCCCTCTGCTGGATGGTTACAGCAGGTTTTGGTCACTTCACATGACCTTGGGACACTGTGACCATCATAAATATAAATCAGTTGCCAAGCATCTGAATGTAAACCACAAGACCCTGGAGATGCTGCAACATTCCAGCTGATCGGCGCTTCTTCTAGGCTCAGCAGAAACGCCAGGATCAGCGCTGAGCTCCAGCTGGAGCCTGGCGCTGATCCTGGCGCTTCCGCTGAGCCCTGACAGCCCTGCAGCTCCAGCCATCTCTCGCTCAGGCTTGTGCGGTGCTACCACCAGTTCAGCTCATTCCCCTCCCCCCCACCACTTTTCTAGGATGATTGCGTACCACCTGCCAGGTGCCAATGTACCACAGGTGGTACCTGTACCACTGGTTGAAAAGCCCTGCCTTAACTTTAAGCTTGGGTCACTTTGTTATTTTATTTCATTTTATTTTTGCAAATATGTGACTTTTCTTCCCTAGGCCAACAGGAGAAGGCTACTGTTGGCAAGTGTTTCTTATTTACTTACTTTAAATAAAAAGCTATATCAAGGTAGTCAGAGAATTAGCAAAGTTATGCAATTAATGTGCAGTTTAGCATTAATAAAAGATTAACTCTACCAGACAAAGTACATTGAGTTATATTCATGATATAAAAAGAATAGAAATCTTGGAACTTTATGCCAAAATCTCCACTGTATTGTTATTTGTCTCCTAAACAAAGGAGAAAAAATTAACTAGAGGGAAAAAAAATCGGTTCAAATAATATAGACAAATATTTGGTTTCTAACTCTCCCCTTTGTACCCCAACTCATTTGCACTGTTTATCAACATAGACTTTAGAAACCGTTTTTTTCTGTCAGAATCCCTTTTGACTTTTACAAATTATGGATGACCCCAGAACAACTTTTATTTGTATGGGTTTTATTTATTGATATTTACTATATTAAAAATTAAAATTGATGCATTTGCTGCCACTGCCACTTTTCACAATTGTTTGTTGGGATTTTAATATTGTCTTGTTTTTCAACATAGGCTGGTAAATAATTTTGATTTTGCGGGTTCCTGGAGAACCCCCAGAGACCCAAAATCCACACTGTAAGAAACCTGCTCTGTTTGTATTTTGCATTGCTGTGTGATATATAGTATATACATACGGAAAGCATTTTTGCTGAAATTTAGTTAACCCTCTCTTATGTATATATACTGCTAAGCAGATAATTTCATACACCACACTAGAGGATGGACAGCTGAATGCACTTTTTAGGGCAGGGGTCTTCAAACTTGGCCCTTTTATGACTTGTGGACTTCAACTCCCAGAATTCCTCGGCCAGTGTGCCTGGCTGAGGAATTCTGGGAGTTGAAGTCCACAAGTCATAAAAGGGCCAAGTTTGAAGCCCCCTGCTTTAGGGTGAAAACCTGGTTGAATCTGACTTATTCCAGGATGTGGTGCTTCTGTTTGTTGGAAAGCCTATTTTTGATGCAAGCCAGAGCCAATCAGGAGGAGGCAGGGAGTCAGTGTGGCTTGAGCCTTGATTTCAAATTCAGATGCTTTCTTTTTAAAAACAACTTCAAAAATATTTAGATTAGAGCTCCCTCATTTTAGAATAGCTTATTTTCTTTTCACATGGCATCAGTTTTTACTCTAAATCATGTCTATATATTTCAGAAACCGGCTTCTCTGGGTCTCTAAGTTGACTAGTAATCAGCAGTTAAAGATTTAAGAGATGATTGCAAGCAAGACTTATAACAACTGAACATACCTGTTCACAATGAAATGGAGATCATCAGTGATAAATTGGAGTAATTTCATTAGGGATGTTTAATTAGTAAGACATGATAACAAAAGGAGATACCTTCCTATCGAAAAGTACTCTGAAATTTGGGACAGGATCCAAAAACTGCAAGCTGAATTCAACTTGCATCACACAAATTTAACCCACTGCAATTTCTGGAGCTAAAAATTATATCTACAGGTAGTCCTTGATTTATGACCACAGTTGAGCCCCAAATTTCTGTTGCTAAGCAAACAGTTGTTCAGTGAAGTTTGCCCCACTTTTCATTCTTTCTTGCCAAGTTGTTAAGTGAATCACTGCAGTTGATAAATTAGTAACATGGTTGTTAGGTGAATATTGCTTCCCCATTGACTTTACTTGTCAGAAAGTCGTAAAAGGGGATCAAATGATCATGGGGATGCTGCAATAGTCATAAGTATGAAAAACAGTCATAAGTCATTTTTTTCAGTGCCATTGTAATTTCAAATGGTCATTAAACAAATTGTTGTATGTTGAGGACTACCTGTATAGGGGAGATTCCCTAAGAATAT